GCATTATGTTCATCTGACACTGGCTGCTACTGGCTGCTAACAAATGTTGAAACACATTAAACATGTTACTACCAGTATCTTAAAGTCGTAGGGAAGCGGCTCTTCCAATCATTGCATTTCCGAATTCTCCCAAGTGGTGCACGACTTTACACGAGTGAATAAAGTGAATGTGATTGGTCAATTATCAAAGGGTGGGATTGTTGTGGCGGAAGGTTCACAAGCTTTTTGGTCATGGTCGGTTTATCGGAAGCATCTTGCTAACCAGTTAGCGTCTTAGGGCTAGCAGGTTCCCAATGGGAAATTCCATTGGGACCAAGTAGCACTAAATTGGTGACTTAGAAACGACACTGTCAAGGAACGCTATGAATCAAGATGCTATGACCGAAACAATTTGATAGATGTCCGTTGATAAATGATTGGCCGATTTAGATGTACAGGGTGACCTCCCCTTTTATGTCAAATAGTTCAGAGTCTAGTGTTGTGTCATCTTGACTATTGCTCTACAGTGTGGACATCTGCTGCCAGGGGTGAACTCAAAAAGCTACAGGTTGTTCAGAACAAGGCAGCACGGTTGGTACTGGGCTGCCACATTAGATCTAATGTCAACCAGATGCATTCCTGCCTTTCCTGGCTTACGGTTGAGCACAAGTTGCTTTTTAATACACTTATCCTGTTTAAGTCAGTCATGAGCAGTAATGTTCCTGCTCTTATACATTCACAAATTGTTTATAGTAATTCTGTTCATGACCACAACACTAGAGGTTCTTGTAATGGGCAGCTTGTTTTACCAGGTCCAAAAACCAATGCTCTAAAGAGATCCTTTATATATAGATCATTACACCTTTGGAATAATCTACCTCACTACATCCGCTACACTGAGAGTAAATTATCTTTTAAAAAGAATCTGAGACTCCATTTGATGCCCTGAAGTGTTTCTGTTTTATTGACTGTTTTATTATATTTGTTCTTGTTTTATTGGCTGTTTTATTTTACTTGTTCTTTTGTACTTCCTATAGTAATTTTAAGAAATTACATTATTGGAATTTTTTATATTTGTAACTGTTTTTTACAGTATGTTTTTAATGTGGACC